TGTACTCACGACAATAAGTCCGCGAAAACTTGCATTTCTTGATGATCTTTAGCTAAAATGTGATTTAGGAGCAGTGAAAGGTCGTGAGAGACAAAAGTGACAATGAGAAGCAATATTTCTAACGTCGGATTGATATTTCAAGAAAAGCAAGTAGAATGCAATGAAACTGATCAAACCACTTAAGAGGAGAGATCGATACTCTAGAGTTAGAGATAAGGACGAAACGGGATGGACATACCGGGCAAATGACGGCGTATGTCCTTGGGTGAAAGACGAATTGGATCTGAGACTACGTAAACTGATAGATAAACAGCCGTCATTTCACAGCATCAAAAAATGTACGCTAGAAGAAACTTCAACGAATCGGTGGTTTTCGGAATTTCCGCCATTATCACACACTCTTGAAATCAAACGCAAAAATACTTTGCATGATTTGTATGAAAAAATCAACCGAAAATTACCATATTAGAATAACTGATGCTTGCGGTCTCAAATCCACATTCGTTGGTGAGCTGGCAATTTCAATCTTAAAGGCCAAGTACAACTCCTTTTCATAAGATCGACTGTTTTCAAAACCTCGTGATAAACATTCAAAAGATCCTTTCATTATTATCTGAGCCAACATGTCATGTGGTCTGGTAAAGGCTCTTGTACAGCCCGAGGCAAGTGTTTCGTCCTTATAGACTCATCAGCAGGGCAGAACCCGTCGTCTGTCGATCTTTTCATAGTCAGTTCTCTCGGGAGCGTCACACTCCTCATATATAGTTATCGACGACCTACGCTTTACACTCTATGTCAGGTGAAACATTCACCTAACACAGAGTGTTTTCGCACTCGATTGCTAGCTGGCTGGTATTTTATCATATTATACCTCTGACTATGAAAAGATCGACAGACGACGGGTTCTGCCCGGCCGATGAGTTTGTAAGGACGAAACACCTGTCTCGGGCTGTACAAGAGCCTTTACCAGACCACATGACATGTTGGCTCAAATAATAATGAAAGGATCTATTGAAATTTGAGCGTGGTCTTAATAAAGCACTCGAAGGAAAGGTATAAAACATTCAAAATAATACCAAAAAAAGGTTTTTGGCCTACAAGGTTGCTACGCCAAGGCCATACACCGATGTTTCGGAGGTTTCGGCCTCCTCGTCAGTGACCCCCGCCCCACATTAGGCCCTGCATTGTAGCAAGGAGGGAGACGTATGTGGTGATGGATAATGTACAATGACATTGGTCCATCACCACTGTTCAGTCGATGGATTTCGGCTGGTAGACCAAAATTAATCCATAAGATCGACTGTTTTCGAAATCTTATGATAAAAATTCAAAATAATTCCATAAAAAACCTCGTTTAGGTTTTAGACATTTTTTTCATAAATTATTTTAAATGTTTATTGCGAGGTTTTATAAACAGTCGATCTTATGGATTAATTTTAGTCTACCAGCCGAAATTCATAGACTGAACAGTGGTGATGGACCAATGTCATTGTACATTATGCCATCACCACATACGCCTCCCTCCTTACTACAATGCAGGGCTTAATGTGGGGCGGGGGTCACTGACGAGGAGGCCGAAACTCCGGTCTATGGCCCCTTGCGTACCAACCTCGTTTAGGCTAAAAGCATTCTTTTTTTTTGAAACTCCTTTTCAATTTCTAATTTATGGTCGGAAACTTATTGCCTAGGAATATGATGTGATAATGACTCGGACCAGGTTGAAGTATTGGCAGGAGCGAAGCTGAGATTCATGTGAATTTGATTTTCGTGTTGTCTTGAAACTCTCGTTAATTACGTTCAACAATGTGGTCGCCATAACATGAATGCTGATCAATTCCTTATTTATGTCATTTTTCTGAGAATAAATCAAATATGGAATAAAAAAAGAATGCCTAAAATTTAGCCCATAATCATTGAATGAAAAACATATATCAAACTAGCATTTCCTCCTTCTGGGGGGTGCGGTGCTAACCATTGCACTATTGACATTCTTGTCTGCCATCACTATTACTTCGACGCAGTTGGCATCGATATATCGGCAATGCAATAGCTAGCAGCGCGCACCCAGGAATGGCTGAAATGCGAGTTTGAATCCCTTTCGATGCTTAAAGTACTGCTTATTAGCACTCGACGTATTGGATATTTATTGGTAAGATCAGAGCACCGCTAAAACCAGAGAACCACAAATGAAAAGATTTCCATCTGAATTTATTAATATATATATATATATATATATATATATATATATATATATATATATATGTCACTGTGACTGGATTCAATGCCGATATCGGCTTACCAGACCAAACCGTTACTGTTGGCTGCTTACATATCGATAGAACTGTGCTGAAAAAAAGTGATGGATGAGCAGAAGCACCTGTGGTGCAGTGATTGTGTTAGCACGCGCCCTCGGAAAAGTTGAAATGTAGATTCAGATTTCGTCCGACCCTCAACGTACTGCACATCGTTGAACATTATTAGACATGTATTAGTAGCATCATACCACACCGTAAAAGCGGTTAGATGAAATAAATTTCACTGAATGGGCAGCCACTTCCACTAATGAGTCACCAAGTTGTGGAGACACAACTCATGCTGGATTAGAGAAGCTTACTTGTGGAGGTGTTGACATGAAAGGTCAAGTGGCGTGTCTGCGGACGTCCTCCAGAGATTGTTGGCAATGAAATGCAAGCATAAAACGAATCCTTGTGTTACGATTCGAGATTTTTGAAGAAAGAAACACCGGTCACTCAGCAGCTGTTGGATTAGAAATTCGAGAAAACTCGAAAAATGGTTTTGAAAACCATTCGAGGGTAAGTTAGAAACAACAGAACTGAGACATGTGACCTATATCATCAGAGATTTCTACATAGATTTTGAATTAAAAAGCCCGCAACTAGCTTCTATTGAGGAATGTCGAGAAATTCAAAAGAACTTCAAATCGCAATTGGGAGTTAAACCCGCGTACACGCATCTCGAGAGCGCGTACCGACCAGTGCTCCAACGGAGTAGCGCGGTCAGTGCAGTGGTTAGCACGCTTTTCGAAAAATTCGAAAAACGTGACGAGCAGGTTTAACCCCAACCGGCGGCTCAAGGCCTTGCATAAAACTCAACATTTATGAATATCTAGTCACAACACCACAGCACTGCTAAAAAATGTAGTAACATAAAAGAATTCTCAAAGACACCTAACTTCTACTCATGTACGAATTCGTAATCGAGGTCAAAGGCAGTAAATTTGCAAAGAAATTCATGCCCTATTCAACTTGAATACTTTAACTTGAAGAGCATATTTGTCCAAGTGTCCCAGCACCCCAGCACATGTTCTTTCATATCTTTCCCACGCAGCTGCCATCTATGCTGGTTCCCTACTCGAATACGATCTATGTAAGACTTATCACATGATTTACATCCCCTTCACATGCAAAACAAATGACCAACTAAAATTAACAGATCTTTGTACTTTTCTGAGCCCTCTTAACTGTAATTCTTATCTTTCGACCAGCTCTTTTCACTACACGTTCATTTTCCACTGTTGAGAAGTGTTAAGAAATGTATGAGAGAAGAGCCAGCTTTTTGCATGCGGATTGTAAAGACGTCTTGGCGCTCTCTTCATTAAAAGTATCCTTGGAGAACTCTTTTTACTGATATGCTATCTTTTCGTCACGATAAAGTGCTCCCATCATCTGATTTACCTAGCAAGTGAAGCGCATTTTTCTCCTTCTTGGTAGTGTGCACTGAGAAGGCCTTCACAGAAATCAAGTTAGTACTGGAATCTCCATTTCTCCAGCTATCAAATGACCACTAGTGTTCTAGTGAGTGAGCAGAAAGTATTACTAGTTGATTGCCACAAGTACTAGTTGTGGGTGAAATATGTAAACTGCTGATCGATCATAACGTATGAATAGAGGCAAATTGTTGTTGACTTAGATTATTATGGAAATAAGCTGTTGATTACTGAATTATGTTTTTGATCAAAAGAAATAACGGGTCAGGGTTAAGACCGTGCACCTAGTCAGAATAAGTACTTCCCAAATTCGAGAACGCAGATTCTATCAAAGCCTTCTCCAGCTACGCATCAAAAGCCCCTTCATATAACATTTTAGAACGTGATAAACGTTCAAAAATGGGTTCTCAAACAACATTTACGATATCACCAGACGAAATGTGAAAAAAGAGACGGAATAACATGGTGCTTCCAACGATGTTGTTTCCTTAATGGAAGGTGGATATTTTTAGAACAAGCGGACGTGCTATCTACTAAACTAAGCTTGTAGAGATCCATTTGGTAAAATTCAGTCTGCCCATAGCAACAAAGCTTTCCTTAAATTGTAATTTTGCTAAAATACCGGAAATTCCATGGTGAACTGAGGCAGTGTACTCCAGAGCCAAGACGTTATCTTGCTCTCGCTTATAGAGTGTGCTACGGAGCTCTTTCCATAAGTAGGCTTACTATTACAATCACTATCTTTGAGGCTATAGAAAAACTACAGAAACATGAATAAAATAAGGAATTATAGATGAATACATAAACATGACTAAAATAAGGGATATAGTATAATAAAAACTGGAAATATGTTCTTTTTCAAAGGTTCTGGTTTTCTCGAGAGAACATAGGAGATTTTTCGACACATTGTTGTTCCTTATACTAAAACAGACCCTTCAAGAAAATCACTCATGTGCAAGTTTATTTTTAGATCATGATAACTCAAATTACTAAACAGGTGCCCATATTTCTGTTGCAGCGCGCTTCAATTCAAACTATGAGTTACGCAGTACGGCAATCGATCTCCTCTTTTTAGAACACTTTATACTTCAAAATTCTTTTTATCTGACCGCCACTTGCGGTGGTATGATCTTGTAATATACCCAATAATGTGGAGTGCTGTGCAAAAACATTTGCGTCAGCCGGTATTCGAACCCCTCACTGTTTTCGGGAGCGTATGCTAACCGTTGACAAGTATCGCCTTGTAGCGTAAAAAGCGTGCTGTGCAAAACGAGCGTCGGTGGTGCAACGGTAAGCATACACTTCCAGAAAGAGTGAGTTCGGGGTTCGAAACCCTGCTGACGCAAATGTTTCTGCACAGCACTCCACATTATCGGGTTAACTTTGTACTTCTGTTGGGAAGACAGAAGAAGGAAGAGGATAGCTACATCAAATTCGGCGAAACACTGAAAACAATTTGATGATTTCAATATGGCTGGTAATAATTTTTTGAGCCACGCATGTCAAAGGGGGTCTATCAAATAGGGCTGACTTATAGGACCGATACACGTGTTTCGATCTTACGATCTCGTCAGTCGGGCAGTTACCCTTTCTCGTCTTTTGCCAATCCTGCGTGGATGCTCCAGTCCCTACACTAAGAGTTAGCGACGACAAAACGTTTTACACTCTATCTTTAGTAAAATTTGTACACTCGATTGTTCTTGGCTAGTATATACAATATATCATATCTTTCGTTTCGAGTGTTTTCTTAAGACCACAGCTCATATTTCAATATGCCTGGTAATCGATTTTTTAAAAAATTTGATGATTATCTTAGTTCTTAATTCTTGATTCAATTCATGTATGTCCACAAAGGGATAGAGGAAAAAATGCATTTGTTTGTTCAGGCAGCATGCCTACTGTGACTCAACTTTTTTGTTTTAATGTGCGCACTCGACCACACCCATTATAATCCTTCATTCCATCTGAACGCCGTCATCATAGTGCAAAGCAATCAACAATATCTAATATAATATAAATATCTAAAAATAAAATAATATCTAGTATGAAGTATATTACAATATCAATATTAACTTTTGCGCTACTTTTTTAGCCTCCAATTTTTGCCTTTTTCATATACTTTCATAAGAAGTAAAAAAAATTTTTTCAAAAGTAGCGCGAAAGTTAATAGGCATTGTTAATTGCCTTGTGCTATGTTAACGGCGTTTAAGTAGAATGAAGGGATATAATGGGTGTAGTCGAGTGCGCAAATTAAAACAATAAAATTGAGTTACACTATTTATGCTAACAATACCCAAGACCGACTGTTTATTAACCTCGGCATGCTTCAGTATGATTCTTGATTTTCTTCTTTGAGCAGAACACGAGGTGTTACATTAAACTTTATTCGATGGCTGACGTTTCGGCAGTTCGCCTTCTTCAGAGCCTGGAAAGGTCAAAATGTTTGCAATACAATCAGTCAAACACCTCCATTACTTCTTTAGAGAAAATCACCAGACCTAGATTTCAATCTCATCAAGCAAAAATCAACACTCAACATACTCACCGCTTTTTATATGTGTTCCACTGGATGATCCAAGTGGAGATCACCGGCAAGAGAGACACATAGGCTCGTAATGCGCCCTACCCATCAAAACAACAGTCTTATATACTGGCTCATATCACGAGTGTTTACAAGGCATTCCTCCTTGCGGTTTATGGTTGGATTGGTCGTATTAATCCAAAATGCTTCCAAGATCTTTCGCGCTGATGTTTTTTGCTCCTGCGCAAGGATGGTGACTTCGATTTCAAAATCAACTCCGTCGTGCTTCTGTGCTCTATGCGTCCCTAGCGGGGTGTTTTGTCTATTAAGACGCTTGTCAGCTAGGTGTTCTTTTATGCGTGCATAGAGCGGCCTACCCGTTTCGCCAACATATTTATCACTACACGCCTTGCAAGAGGTACAGTCTACCTAATCTCTTGCAAGGCGTGTAGTGATAAATATGTTGGCGAAACGGGTAGGCCGCTCTATGCACGCATAGAAGAACACCTAGCTGACAAGCGTCTTAATAGACAAAACACCCCGCTAGGGACGCATAGAGCACAGAAGCACGACGGAGTTGATTTTGAAATCGAAGTCACCATCCTTGCGCAGGAGCAAAAAACATCAGCGCGAAAGATCTTGGAAGCATTTTGGATTAATACGACCAATCCAACCATAAACCGCAGGAGGAATGCCTTGTAAACACTCGTGATATGAGCCAGTATATAAGACTGTTGTTTTGATGGGTAGGGTGCATTACGAGCCTATGTGTCTCTCTTGCCGGTGATCTCCACTTGGATCATCCAGTGGAACACATATAAAAAGCGGTGAGTATGTTGAGTGTTGATTTTTGCTTGATGAGATTGAAATCTAGGTCTGGTGATTTTCTCTAAGAAGTAATGGAGGTGTTTGACTGATTGTATTGCAAACATTTTGACCTTTCCAGGCTCTGAAGAAGGCGAACTGCCGAAACGTCAGCCATCGAATAAAGTTTAATGTAACACCTCGTGTTCTGCTCAAAGAAGAAAATCAAGAATCATACTATTTATGCTGTTTAAGCAAACGAATGCTCTGTTCCCTATTGCATCGTGGACATACTTAGAATGAATGACAATTGACCAACATTAAAGAAGCAAGATAATCATTTAGTTTTGAACTCCGTCAACATAGCACAAGATAATTAGCAACACCTATTAAATTTTGGGCTACTTTTTAGCCTCTGTTGTATTCAAAATCTTCAAAACTTGAGGCAAAGAAATCATGGCATAAAGTAAGTCAGTGGAAAGGCTAAGCATGGAGCTTGAGCTTTTAGAACTATTGGATTCGCCTCTCTTGTGAAAAGCACCCTAATATGAGTTGTTTTCACAAATATTACCGTTATTATTTTATTTCCCTATACTAACGATTATGATATTTTAACGCTACCTTTATTATCCTAGTATTGGGATAAAATCTCAATAGTATGCACCGATGAACAGCTAGTGACATTCTTGCAAGCTTGTTGACAGACATTAGAATATTGGCTGCTGTCGCGTAATTTCACTTGGTAATTAGTAGGTAACGAAGTGATAGACAAGTCACTTGTCTTAATGAGAGAGCATCTTTCCTGATTTTTAAGTGAAAAGCTCGAGTGAGAACAACACAGGTTTAATCATTGTTTGGTGCTGCGTGAGTAGTTCACCACGTTATTCAACATTCTACATCATTACAAAACACCCCTCAAGACTGCACCATAAGGTTCATTATTTTACTTTTTTTCTGTAGAACTGCTTTACTACTTGTCTGGATGGGCTAGCTCAGCGAAAGGGCATGCCTTTATTGCGCAAAACTTTTGTAGCAATACAATACACAGCTGTAGCTTAGGTGATTTAATCTCCGTTTGAAAAGAAATTACAGAATAAAACGACAGATACACTTTGATAGAATGAAGAAACTTCAGAAATTCTCTTCAGTAAGTCAGTGGCGGACGAAGATAAATATTCGTCATGAAGATTATTCGCTTTCATAATGAAAAGAAGAATATAAGTGAAAATGAGGAAACGTACGATTGAAATGAGAAGATAATGGCAACTTCCACTTGTGGGCTGAAGTCACATTTATTCAGACTTGGGCGTGACTCCTTACCAATCAGTTTTTATACGAGTGTAAGCTATGAATGACATTACCCAGCGCTTTCCTTCCGGTGGAAGTCAATCAACCGTCTGTGATAGAACATAAAATGTACATGAAACTAAAAAAAAAAGTAATCTATATGAGGTACAAAATTAATTCTGTGTTGCATATTCAGCGATGGTTCTAACTAATCTAATTCAAATGTCTTCCTTTCAATCGATACGTTTTTTTTGTGTTTCTAAGGCATCAGGGCTGAAATGTTCCGTGGTTTTTAACTCTGAGAAATTGCCGGCTCATGCGACCAGATCAACATTGTCATTCAAGATGCCATAAAACCGAGCCTGTCACTGAACTAAAATTTGGGGTCATAATAAAGCTGATATTACACGGATACTCAAAAGACCAAAGTCTTATATGATATGACGAGAAAAGCTGTCTAAAAAAAGTGACTTAACTAGTGGCTGCTAACCTGAATTCCTTCCAATAATCATAACTAATCCACAAGAGATTTGAACATATTTGTGGAAATTCAATGTAAGTTTTCACCATGTGCATTTTTACTACCATGATTGCCACATTGAGTTTTTCAGGTACCACTATACTCCCACAATTCGTTATAATTTGCAAAGTATCTTAGTACAATCTCGTCAATGAAATGCGTTTTATTTGGTTCTCAACAGAAACTTGATTAGTCGTATGTCGAAAGTAGAAATAGAAAAAAGCAGTGGTACCTCAAGGATTGTATCAACAAAGGTAACAGAAAAGTTCTCATAACAGGTTTTTGAAGCCCTGGATATTCCAAAAACACTGGGCATTGATCATTCCGTGCCGAATGCTCCATATATTAGACTTGATCAAGCGTCATAAGAGGTCATCAAGTGCATTTGCGGCTTTACAATGACTTGGAAGGGGATAACGATTTACCCATAAGTGCACCTACTCTTCCAGGCAATTTGGGTCGGTTTGTTAGGTATCAGAAACACGGGAGATATGGTGACGACAGGCTCAGGCTCGGACCACAAGCGGATCCAGGTGTATGATATGCTGCTTCACTATTCTATACATGCCCCTAAGGCTTTTCAATAAGTGCTGACCAATAAGTAGTTTGGAATCTCATTTTTATCCTCTCTACTGACTTACAGGAACGAGCTCTAATGGTTGAAGGGTATATAGAACTTTTAGGAATGACTGCTTATTTCAGCACGGAACAAAATGATTTTTTCTGAACCGCCTTTCCGTTGACCTCGACATTATCCTTATAATTTCGACAACTTCGTCTTCTTAAAAGCCAAATTGTCCACAGTCGCCTGATGCTCGAACGAAGACGAAATTTCACAAAGAGAGTGAGAGACTGTGAAGAACAATTGACGTGAGTCGTCGGCTCTTAAGAAATGAAGATGTCAAAACGTTTGCCGAATGAAGTTTCTATATCAATCTTGTGACAATAGCTAAATTGCACGAGAAACTGTTCTGCTTGTTGTTCAAATCCTGGATGTTTGTGTCTCTTTCAATTCAAACCTTTCAAAACGGAGCCATTTTCGGCTGGCGGGCGGCTTAGACTGCTGCGAAAATAGCCGCAACTATTCGCTCCGAGGATAATGTGGTAGTTTTCGAGATAAAAATATACTTTGCTCACCTCAATAAGGTTAATTTGATTAGAATCGCTCCATTCTAATCCACATTTGCAAAGGAAAAACCAAATATCTATGAAA